TAAACATTTCTTTATTCTCCTTAATACTCACCTACACACAGGGAGACCACCGACCTCATCTTCAAAGCTTGGAACTGCTGGAGAAGAAGAGCCAACTGTTGTTGCTGCTGAGATGACAAAGCTGCTTTCTGCTGTTGAGCTAAAACCTGTGCATACTGTTGTCTTAAAAAAAAGAAAACAAAGAGTAAACTATCTACCGATATGTAGTTCACACAATTCAAAGACTGAAACAAAATGCAACTATCTCCTTCCCAAAACACGTTTAGAAATAACAATCAAATGTATTTTATAATTCTATGTACTAATTAATAGTCACAAGAAACCTTATAATGCTCTCCAGAGAGAACTCATAGATGTTTCTGAATGAGAGATACATGTATGTGTACATATGGAACAAATGATATATGTGATATATGCATACCACATATCACAGAATGTCAAACACTGGCAAACACCCACAAGATGATCAGTACCAATCTGTTGCCAGTTTGCAAGTGACAATAAGCAAATTTGAACACCTATTTCCAAATGAAGAACTCTGTAAAATAAAATCACTTCTAAAAAGTTTCAAATTTAAAGTTTCAGCTTGGAAATTTTTAGGTAATATTTTCCATTAGATCTGAAAGTTCCAAATACTAAGTATCTATAGGTTTGTAGTTACAACTCAATTCTGCCTTTGTGATTTAACAATCATCATAGACAATCTATAAACAGGTAAATCAGTGATCCGATAATATTTTGCTTAAAGCAGGCAGCAAGCCACCAAGGCAAGATGGTGCTAACCCATATACCAGCACAAATGTTACTTCTTCCACCCCCCACCCCCATCTTGGTGCTCAGAAGACTAGAAGACTAAGGCCACAAAACATGAGTTTCAGGGCAGTCAAGGCTACATAGCTAAATCCTATCTCAACAACCACAAAATAAACGAGATAACGACCTTAGTGAACTGGTCATCATTCTACACCATTCCTAACAGCATAAATTTTAATTTCTTCCCACCTTCTCCTCTATGTTTTTTCTTTGGGTCCCTCGGAAAGTATTTAGTTCTTAAAATGTTTGTTGGCTCTTTCATCGGTAACTAAAGACCCTGAAAATCATAATCAGATATCGTTTTCTGCAATCTTCTAGTATTTAAAGGGTAAGACAGTAGTATACATGTCACTAGTAGAATACATGTCACTAGTAGGCTACTCAAGTTATCACAGAAGCCTTGAGTTCTCACTATAAAAGGTGAGACTTGGGAGCAGACTCTATCTCAGGCTCCTTGGTGCTGCAGTGCATCCTACTGCATCCCTGCTCTTACTGTATTAAGAACTGCTGGTACTGGAGGTGTTGCATCTGGTATAAGGCAGTGAGTTCTTGCTGTCTGCTCAGGCGCTCCTGGTCCAACTCTCCCTAAGAGAAAAGAGGTACAGAAAGAAGCATCATGAAATAAACAACAATGAGACAGTGTCACCTATCACAGCAAAATAAACCCAAGACCTTTACTTCCTACTCCAACCTTTTGCCCTTCAAACCCTTAACTAAAAACCCCACCATCTTTAAAACTTAAACAATGCCACCTAGTGGAATAAGGTGGTTTTCCAGCATAAGCCACAAAGGGTCCTTCAGTCCTGTCCTCCAGTGGTTCAAGATGAATGCTGAATGAACAGTGTTCTACAGAGTTGCTATTGTAATTGAAAAGTTACCCAGCACTTCAAATCTTAGTGGCTTGTTTAAAGATCATCTGGAAATCAGAAAATTAGGACATTAAGGGACCTAACAATTGATGGAATGGTAAGGAATCTCCCAGTAGCACACAATCAGTTCATAAAGCTAGGGTACAAATATCCTTAAAATGTTGAACATATGAAGGAAAAAAAAATCTGTGAGAACTACTCCTTCAAATTAGGTATTTCTACTGCTATTGTTAATACACTATAAGTTGGAATACACAGGCTATAGTATTTTCTTTGTATCTCAAAATAATTCCAGTAAGATGGCTGAAATCTTATAAAATTTTGTAAAGTTGAAAGAGACAAAGAAAAATATAAGATCTATAATAAATAATAAGAATAAAAAACCTAGGATAATAGACTAGATCTGGGCAAATCAAGTATGACTTTGTATCTTTCTTACATACTGATTATAGTTTGAAATAAAGCATCTGATACACAATGTGTTAGAGCAGGAAGCATCCTAAATTCAGAGACACCAGGAGTTAGGTATTAAGAACACTGCTCGTGAAGGCAAGCTCTCTTTAGCAGCTAACAAGGAAGCTGAGCTTCCCGCAGGTTTCCGGTCGAATGAGTACAGACTGAGGATTAGGTACAGCATCAATTGAAAAGGTACAGATTGTAGTGGGAAATGGACAAGGAATAAGAGCATGCCAAGAACCAAGTGAGCAACTTTTAGCTCCTAACACATGAAAAACACACCTTAACTTCAAGACAGAAAATAAGGCTTCAAACTTGCTTTGTAAATTAAACAGGTAAATACACTGTAACTGTTCTTGGGACTTAAAAGAAACAATACTCAAATATGATGCTTGAATCATGGAAGAAAAAGCATGATGGCCAGTGAGCCTGCCTATATAAACCTTTACAGTATCACATTCATCTTCACCTATCAAAAATCTACCATGAAGGCATGACCAAGCAGCTCTCAATGTAGTTGAATAAGTCAATGGCAGGTTACTGTAGAAATCCAGTATTCACGCTAAATTAAATATGATCATTTTTATCAGTGGACAGCCACTATTTGATCCAACTTAAGACATAAAGCCTAGATAAATACATATCTGGGGACCTCACTAGCAACTCTATGGAGAAAGGCCAGCCTCAAGAGAAAAAACTTGGGAACTAAAGTTTTAAGCCCTGAAAATATCCTAACACACTAGTGGCAATTATTGCAGGATAAGCCTCAAATTTAAGAAATAGTATGAGCCAGAAAATAAAATGGAAATGGAGGCGAGAGGAAAAGAATGTGCATTCTAAGTAAAGACAGTAAGGAATTTACAGAGGTTAACCACATTGAAACTCTGTAGATAAATGCTTTGATATGAGCTTTGAAAGGGAAAGAGCCAGGCTGGGCATTGGTGGCACACACCTTTAATCCCAGCACTCGGGAGGCAGAAGCAGGTGGATCTTCATGAGTTCAAGGCCAGCCCAGTCCACAGAGCAAGTGCCAGGATAGGCTCCAAAGCTACAGAGAGAAACCCAGGGTGGTGGGGGGAGGGGGGGAGGATTGGGGGAGGTGTCAGACCATAAAGGACCTAGTAGTTAGGTCAGGCTAAGATAATGATTCCATTTTTTATTGGCTAGAAAACCACTGATGGATTTTATATAGTGTATATAAGTGCATGCATGCAAATGCCCAGCAAGTTTTGAAAGGGTCATTACTGTTCAGGATATAACTATCCCATTCAAAAATGTCCATTACCATTTCAATTTCCTTCTATGATACTAGTGATTGCTCATGCCTATAATCCTAAAGGACCACTACATGTGGTGCAGGACCCTGTCTCAAAGAAAGAAAAGGGAAAGAGAAACTACTATTCTTTCCTCCTCTACTGCAACCCTGGATTATCATTCAAAGAAAAACAAGGACCCCTGTATCTGTTGTGCATCCCAGGCCAGCAGGAAGATACTCACCATATGAGGAGGAGGGGCTGGTCCTGGAGAGAAAGGAACCCTTCCCCACATTTTCATGATGTCTCCAAGAGGCTGGAAGCTTTCATCACATGCTCTCTTCACAAGTAAAGACATAGTGAAATAGCCCGCCTGAAACCATTCAGCCATCTCCTGATTGTTAAAGGGACCTAAACACAGGGGCAGTAAGAATCTTGTCAGGCTGGGTCTCGTGTTCACACAAGCTTTTATAATATCTTAGCTTACTTCAAAGAATGACAAATAGTTTTTTTTTTTTTTTTTTAATTAGATACAACAAAAATAAACGTGTTTGGTCTACTTCACAGAGCCAGGACTTTGCACATTCTCAGCCAGCACTCTGCTGTCTCATTCCTGACCAAGCTCTACTTTTACACACCTCAAGTTGTCATCAATGCTTTGATGATGTAAGCAGCACAATTATCTCACCCTCTACAACCACTCACACGTCAGAAAGTGAGATATACAGAAAAATACTTGCTGTCTTTGCATCACTGCAGCATAGAGAATATAAATGCTCAGTGCCAAACACACCCTCCAATTTTTGTTATGTTCTGCTGGAGATTAGTGATTGTGGGATAAAAATGTAAAATACAAGCACTAATCAACTGAACTAAGGGAAATTACAATTTATTTACCCAGCTAGACTAAATCTGGACTTTCAAAAAAAAAATAGCATTCTTTAATTGAGTACTTTAAACATAAAAATTTACAGAACATATAGATTAATTCAATATTTTCTAGGAATTAAAAATATTTTTAAATGAATGTTTTTCCTGTACAAATGTCTATGCACCATTGAGTCCTGGTATCCACAGAGGACATAAGAGGGTGTGGGATTCCCTGGAACTTAAGTTACAGATGGTTCTAAGCCATTGTGTGGGTGCTGGGAGTCAAGCCTGGGTTTTCTAGAAGAGCAGTGAGTCTTTTTAACTGAGTCATTTATATAATGATCCCTTCTAAATTGTTAATTAAAATCATACATATATGTTCTTTGACCACCACAGAACCAAGATAAATATCAACAACAGAATACTAACAAGGAAAATTCCTAGTTTAGAATCTAAAAACACTTCCAAATAATTGATGGGTAAAAACTATGTGTGTGAACATGTACACTCCACATACACTGAAGTATAAACTATGACTAATTTAAATTTATTACTGGAATACGAAGATGGTTCATTCAATTCATGAAAATTCAACAATAAGATGAATATAGTGGTGCATGCCTTTGATCTCAGTACTTGGTGGGAGGAATTACCAGTATTTTATACCACATTACATATGGCATATGATTATCTCAATTGGTGCGGAAATGTTTAGCACCCTTCCATATTAAGGAGGGGGATGCTCACTTCAGCAGCACATATACTAAAACAATTTGAAACAAAACAGATGATTAGGATAGCCCCTACTCAAGGATGACACCCAAATTTGTGAACTGTTCTGTATTTTTTTTCTGACCTTCATTTATGCCTAAAGAACTAAAATAAAAAGCACCAAGAAGAAAAAAAGAAAAAAAAGGGGGGGCAGGTAAAGATGCTTACCACTATGCCCCCCCACGCACACATAAATGAAAATAACAAAAAAGATACGCAAGATGATGAGGGCAAGCAAGATGGCTCAGTAAGTATGGGCACTTGCCACACAAACCTAGTGACCTGAGTTCCACCCTAGGTACCCATAGAAAGATGGAAGGAGACCCCCCCCAAATTCCACAACATCATCCGGGGCCAAGGGCCCTACCCTCTATGGGGAACAGAGGGAGGAGGGGGGTGGGGGCAGGAGGGAGGGGGCCTGGTGGGAGGCTGGGGGGGAAGGGAGAAGGGATTGTCATGTGAAATTATAATTTATAAAAATAAAAAAGTAATAATAATAAAAATAAAAAAGATGGAAGGGGAGAACCAACTCCAACTCCACAGAGTTGTCCTTTGGCCTCACACATCACACAAACATATAAACAGTGATAATAAGCATTAAAAAAAAAGATAAGTATCCAACTAATAAAAAAAGATAAAGATATACACAAGCATGCCTAGTAGAATGATTTTGTCTATTATTATTTGGCTTTATTATTTCTAGCTACTTAGGAAGGCTGGGGCAGAGGCCTTCAGTCCAGAAGTGTGAAATCAGTATGAGTAATACAACACAGCATTGTCTCAAAAGGGGGAAGGGAGAATGAAAAAAGGAAAATCTCTATAGACATAAACACAAGTAAAGATGCTCAACACCGCAATCCATACTACAGAAGCTGTAACAATCCAGGTTTGGGGGGAAGACATCCATAATCCCAGAACTTTTAAAGCTAAGTAAGAAGAGCTGGAGGACATCCTGGGTTATACAACAAGATATATCCCACCACACAAAAACAAACAAAACCCCCACATATAATGGAATATCCTAGTAACTACAAAATAATAATAAAAGCTAGCAAGGATATAGACAAATTAGATCTTATGTACCATTTGTAAGAAAATAAAACAGTACAGAAGCTATGGAAACAGTTAAAAATAGTTTCCATATAATCTAGAAGCAGGCATGGTAGAGCATGTCTATAATGCTAACTTCAGGAGGCTGAGAGACAGGAGGCTCACAAGATGAAGTTGAGCTACACATGGAGATCCTGAATCACAACAAGGTATCATTATACACTTGCCAGAATGATTTAAAAACAATTACAAAATAACTTATCATCATCATCAAATTCCAATAAAGATACAAGAAAACATTTACATCATTAGAGGGCACTCTGGAAAACAGTTTAAAAACTAAAGATGCCATTGCCATCTGACCTGGTACTTACACTTCTGGGCATTTATACTGAAGGAATGACACACTTGCAAATACTGCCCAAAATGTTTATAGCAGCTTTATTTGTAGCAGCCAAAAAATTTGAACTACCCAAATGTCCTTCATCAGGTGAATGGTTAAACAAACTATTATCAAATGACATCATTCACTGTGACTCAATAATACAACAAAACAAAGTATGACTTTTGAAGCCACCAGGATGAAGCTCTAGGGATCTAAATGGATGTAACCATTCTATGCTGTATGGTTCTACTTATATAACATTCTTAAATGATACAATATAAAAATGTAAAACAGATTGGTGCTTACCACAGATTAACAAAGGAGTGTGGAAAGGAAGTGAGTGTTGCTATAAAAGGGTAACATTGCTGCTAACATGCAAAGATTCTGAACTGTGTTGATGTCAACACCCTGGATGTTTTGCCACTGAGAAAAATCGGATGAAGGACAATTTCACGTGAAACTACAATTATCCCAAATAAAATGAATTTAATTAAAATGCACATATGTACAAAGCACTATTCTTAGCTATCTTAACATTATACTTCAATGTTAGCAATGAACAAATATATATACAAGACCAGGCAATGGTAACTCATATGAAAGAGAGTAAGGCAGGGAAAGGGAACTAACTAAAAGTGGAAATGTTAACATGCTGGAGCCCTCCAACAAAATATTCAGTAAGTGCTGTGCTAAAACAGACACTAACAACCAACTCCAGCTCTAAAGATTTTAAAAGCAGCAATGAATCTACACGGATTCTTCACAGCATTCTCCCCTCCAATCTAACTTACTCAAACCTTTCAAGGGATCCATTTATAAAACTGTAGTCTTTTCTTGGTCATTTTAGTAATTCTCTGTTGTTTATACCATATCCACTTCTGCACATCAGTCAAGGTTCTAACGCTGCTGCCATTCCTTCATGTTGTCTGGGTATCAAAGCACAGAGACCACTCCTGCCTCTTACCCAGCTGGGATGTGTGGAGCTCGGTTAGGGCACAAAGCATTTTGCTGACACCACTGCCATTTTAGTCATCACTCTCTGTGTTTGCTTTCCTGATTTTTCTTTATATTTATAAAGAATGTCTATTGACTTTGTTTTCTATTATGCAAACTAACATTAAACAAACCCCTCTCAGGAGGGTCTCAAAGTCACACAGATACTCTAGTATTTAAAATGAAAATGGGATGTTTACCTTGGATTTCCCCCTGAGGGTCTTTGTAATACCACTTTTGCATTGCTTCGTGCATCAGTGGAATCGACACTCCTTTAGCTCTGTGCTCTTGCAGTTTTGATGTCAATCTTTCCTCATCTAGTGCACTGTCTTGGAGATAAGCCACCATCTTCTCAGCTTGCTAGTAACAGAAGATAAAGGATAGGGGGAACAAATGTTCCTGTATTAATATTATAAGGTTAGTAATAATGATCACTGTTTTTGAACAACTTGATTTGTGAAAGACATTGGGCAAGGAACAAAACAATTAACAACCTGATCCCATTATATAGGAGAAAAAAAGCTATGGATCAAAGAACCAAAATAAGCCAATTAGATTGAAATACAAACTGGTATAGATCAAAGCCTAGGCTTCAAAAAAGGTTTTAAACTAGGCTGTTGACCCATTCCAGATTGTTTTCACAAACCTGTATATTTGTAGATGTTAACAGAATAAAAGACTCAATTAATACAATTACAAGTAAGCTATTCTACAAGTTTCACTAATACATCAATAACCTTCCTTTCTACATTTCCTGTCTCTAGCCACGCCACCCTGAAGGAAAGAGAAATTCTTTTGTAGAAAACCAACTCATTTACTTTTCATGTGATGATGTTATACACAATTTTCAGGAAACATAGACATGAAAAAGAATGTTAACATCCTGACCATCATCCCTGTTATACTTGAAGTAAAAAACACAGAAGACATAGGGGCCATCCACAGCTGCTTGTATTCACCATTTTTAGCATTCCATTAAGGTCCAAAAAGAAAAGAAAAGAAAACAGCTAAGGGCAATCTCAGAAGAGCAAAAAATAACCTAACATGATGACTACTACATAGCAGAAACTTAAAAGCATGAAATGATCTGAAAGACAATTACTCACACAAACATTAAATAACCAAACATTTTTTCCAGTACTTAAGACCTAGTGCACAAAACTTCTGTACTGGGATATTCATGGAAACTTGAGAGTAGATAATAGAGTAACCTGATTTCACCTGTTCCAAGTGTTTGAGGCCCTCTTCATCATCTGGTTCTGTGGAAACACTGCCCATACCAGGAGCCTCAACGGCTGCTGTCTCAACTGGTCTTGAGGCAGAAGTAGGAGTGGGAACAGGAGGTGGGAGGATGAGGAGAGGAGAGGCTGTGTCTGGAGGAAGCTGTGTCGAGGGTTGCTGGGAGGTAGGCACTGTTTCTAAAGGGAAAGAATAGAGAGTATAAATGTTCTTATAAATCTGGAGACATCTCAAGGTTAATTCTACATCAGTGGAGCAGTCTGCTGTGTAGGCCCAATCGAGATGTCAACCCTGAAGATACTTATTATGGAGAAATGCAAGAGTTTAAAGTCCACAATGGGTCTCTCTAGCTATGTCACTACAGCATCTAGCCAACAGTGGCGACAGTCAGTCCATGCCATTCTTTCTAACAGGCCTCTAAATAATAAAGATTAAGACATTCAAAGACATGTCATCTCATCAAAATGTTTAATAATCTTAAGTTCCTATCTCAAGTGGTAATATAATGCATGCTTTAGGAGTCTCAACAGCGTAGGGTGTTTTTAAGACTAGAAATTGTAATCGTGCTTTTTTTTCTTGGTTCCTTTTTGGGGGGCTTGGGGAGAATGACTCACTCTGTAGACCAAGCTGGCCTTGATTCACCTCTGTCTCCTGAGTGCTGGCATTAAAGGAGTGAGCCACTACTACCTAGCTTAAAAATATATTTTTTTTAATTTTTATTTATTTGTGTGTGCACGTTGGCATTTTGCTTGCATTCATATCTGTGTGAGGGTGTCAGATCCCCTGGAACTGGATTTACAGACAGTTGTGAGTTGCAATATGAATACTGGGATTAGAACCTGGGTCTTATCACTGAGCCATCTCTCCAGCCCTTTCCTTGGTTCCTAGTTCTAACCTCTCAGTATATAGGCTCCTGAAACAAGTGTGGAAGATGGTGTAACTAGATCAAGTTATAGTTTCTGCTTTAAAACCTTGGCTGTTTAATCATAAAGAGACTCCTCAAATGCTTGCTTCCCTCAAGCATTGCCAAACTTTTCTTAAGTTCAGTCTATGCATGTTGCTTCTGTGTGAGTGACCACCTGATAGGCAGGACTTCCATTTGCCCAGTATCACCAGTAAAGCCCTATCAAAGATACACAGAGATACATAGTGACACAAAACTGCCAGAATCAATGACATTCCCTTGCCATCATTAGCTAATATCTGCAGCAGCTGACAACATTGACCTGAGTCTAAGCTTGAATAATGTCCTCACTGCATCTGTAGGCTGTATTTTTGTCTCTCAAGGGAATTCTCTGGTTCCCACCCCTATTATTATCCAAGCTTCTGTTTTCAGTCCTTTGTTTTCCTCACCCTACCAACTGTATGGTTTTGTTGTGCTCTTCATTTTGTTTTTGAAGCAGTCTTACT